TAAATTGTTATGAGAAGGGGGGAAACAAGTCCACGACGTAGGAAGTTGTGAAGGAAATAGTAAAGGTTTGCAGTGCAGAATGTAGGATCAGTTTGTGACATTAATGTATCTGCAATACTAAAAATGTTATGGGAAGGGAGGGAAACAGGTCCACGACATAGGAAATGGTAAAGGAAGTAGTAAAGGCTTGCAGTGCAGAGTGTGGGAACGCTTTGGGACAGTTAGATTAATGTATCTTAAGTATTAAAATGCTTTGGGAAGGGAGGGAAACAGGTCAAAGACGTAGGAAGTGGTGAAGGAAGTAGTAAAGGTGAACAGTCTGGAGTGTGGGAACCGTCTGTGTCAGTTATAGATTTAATGTATCTGCAATCCTAAAATGCAATGTAAAGGGAGGGAAACAACAGGTCCACAACGTTGGAAGTGGTGAAGGAAGTAGTTTAAAGGCTAGCAGTGCAGTGTGTGGGAACATTTGTATTTTGTATTGTATCTATAAACATTTCTTATTTATTGCCTTACTAAACAAAGCAAACATGATTGCTCCGCTCAACTGGCTTTCATTGCTATGAAAGCAGTCCTAGTATATGCAGGTGTACGAGGGCGGTTTTTTTAGTGCAAGTGTAAAGTTAAGAGTGTAAATGTGCCAGTTTCACGTATAAATCCATTGATTGCTTGTACGCCGCAGTGAAAAAACCCATTTGCGAATCAATTATGAATTCTGATTACTCACTTCAGTCTCTCAGCTCTCTCCTTGGCATGCCTTAGCCAATTTTTAATTGGAACGGCGATGTCTGTGTCCGTGGCCGCTGGTTGGTGCAAGCGAGCAGTATCTGTTTGTAAAAATACATATGTATTACCAAAGTATTAAAGTTTAGTACCTATAAATATCTGATAGTTCAGCTACATTACATACTCAGTCGCCAATATCGCCAATATATATGTACACTGTGTATACTCATCCAGCCCCATAGCCCTGTCTTATTTGGGATAATTCATGTTACAAGATTCATGTTACAACACTGCCTTTTGATACAACTAGAGATTCCATTCCCATGTTTAAGTTGTAGCCAGTTTTTTTTTTTTTTTTTAAATGCCGTAACTGATGTGAGCCACCGACAGACTGCGCTGATCTAAATGAATAATTTATGTTGAATACAAGAACTGTTTTACCTGGTTAAACTGGTGGAACGACTTATTGTGAGCTATATTAGCTGTTATGAACCATCAACTGTGTCAGCAACAGAATATAAGGTATAAAATATAATTTTAGACACTAGTAAATTCTGTGGTTGGCCCATACAACAAAAGAAAAAAAAATGGCAACAGCTGATCCATTGATGGGATGTCTACTTCAGTTTCCAATAGCATACTACATCAACACTACTACTACTAGCACACTACTAGCATACAGTATCAATGGATGAGATGCTTGTTTTTGTTATGTCCCACCTTCAGTCCTACAGGGTTGCAGCATTATCACATAGATAAAGTCCATTGGTGATTGGTGGGATTAGGAACCGGGACCTCGGGCACCGAAGCCCTGCACCCTACAACTAGACCAGCTTGCTCGCCAATGCATTAGAGACTATAGGTTCTAGATAAATAATGCTCAGCAAAACAACCTAATGTGTTATAACATTGGAATATTTGGTATATTTTTGTACTGATTACTTGGTCGTCTAAACTTTGGTAAATTATTTATGTCTTGTAAGTGTCAGGGTTGCCCCTCGTCTGTTTTTTAATACTATGTTAATACAGGATGGACGAGATTGAATTTTTAGTTCTGGACGGGACGGGATTTTTTCCTGTGCATAAAAAGAAAGTCTCGCGGTCACAGCGTGATCGTCGGTATGACTTGCGGTCACGGCGAAATTGTCGGTATGACTCGTGATCACGGCGCGATCGTCCAAATGACTTGCGGTCACGGTGTGATTGTCGAAATGACTTCGCTTCCTGCGTTCGTGGAATTACCGTGAACATCTCTCGCGATAGCGGCGTCATCGTCACTCACGAAGCGGCAAAACCTCGATGATCGGATCAAATCCCGTCCCGAAAAATTCTCGAATCAATTGTAATCCCGTCCCGATAATCAGAAATATTTTTTCCCGAAAATTTACCGAATTTTTGGGACCCGCCCATACCTAATGTTAATACCAATAGCCGCTGCGCGGCGCCCCCTCAGCCGCGGCGCCCGGGGCAGCTTGCCCCGGTTGCCCCCCCCTTCGGATGGCCCTGGTAAGTGTTTTAAAAACACCATTGACCAACAAATAGTAATACAACCAGTAAGTTAACAATAATTATATCTTGTCAAGGTAATTTGCAATAAGTTTTTATAGTATAAAAGCAGTTTTTTCCTCCTTCCTATAGGTACCAAAAACTTGGCTCGAGTTACCAATTACATATTTTAGAAGATACAAAAACTAAAAGATATGATAGCATTAATGTTATAAAAATGAATATCTATTAAAGCTGTAGTAACTTACCCAGAATAACCTTGGTTATTTGCAAGGTTGAAAAAATTGTTTTTCCTTTGCCCCCAATCCATGAGAACTCTTGGGCCAGCTCATTTGATAAGATTTTCGGCATCATGATCAATATAATAGATTTCAGGTCATGTCCCCCCAACTTTCTCAACTCATTGACCTAAAAAATACAGGAATCGATATTATAAAATCTTATTTAATAGATCATGTTAATGATGTTTCTTAAAGTGTTGTTTTCAATCAAATTACTTTAATAATTTGATTGGTGTATACAAATTACAAAAATGTTCTTAGTGATATATGTTTCATTTCTACCTAAAACAAGAATAATATTCTCTTTATGTATAAAAATGTCAGGCTACAAAACATTGTGGGTGTTCAAAAAGACTGAATGATTATTTGATTTTTAAAATAGCACCGTCAATGTTCGGTATTTAATGTGGTTTAACTTGTCAAGTTAAAGTTTGCTTGATTGTTGAGATTGTTGAGAAATAAATTGAGTTACAAAAAGCTACAAATAGCACACAATGGCTAAGGTTTTTACAAATAGCTCAAACTCACCACAAACTCCCTGAAAGAGCGTTTTTGAAGATGTTCCTCAAAATCTCTCAGTTCTTCTTTGGTTTTAACAGGTAATTTTCCAAAGGCCTCTTGATTTATTAAATCATCCTCAGAGTTGGAGGATGAGATGCTCTGTGGAACTCCCAAAGGCATGGCCTTTAGCTCTTTCAGAATTTCTTTTTGAGTCTCCAAAATGGAGTTAATTTTGAACCTCAGTTCAGAAAGAGATTTCCGAGTATACTTTTCAAATTCTGTAACAGCCACAAAAATATATTTGTTGCATAGAATACAGATCAAGGTTAAAAATCAACCACAAAAATGGTTATCAAACCAGATGCATGTGGTTAGCAAATCTGTAAATAAAAGATCTCAATTTAGGTCAATTAAACTCATCAATTAAAAAATTAAGTGGGAATAATATTTCGAAACCAATGTGCGTGGGTGTCAATCAATATGGGCAAGGGGGGAGGGGCTGAGCACCCCCTATAAAACCCATTGTTACAAAACTTTTTTTACAAACTTTAAAATTATGCAAAGAAAACCATAAATATACAACATATAACAAAATTTGTTACACAATTTGGCAATTAGACGCCATGAATGTATGTGGGTATAATTTTCGCAAATTACGCACAAATCTATAGGTGAGTCAAGTAAAACCCTGTTCTAGAATACAATTTAAAGGGTTAGGATGGGACCAATTTTCATTAAAAGTTTGCCATGTCCTCTATTACAAAATGAAACTATCCAATGAAACTAAGGACTAAAATGAAACTAAAATTCACCAGTGACCAAACTGTTTTACCAATGACATTAAATAGGGATAGTACTGATAAAAAATAATAGGGATAGTAGACCTACTGCTAAAAAATAAAATTGTACAAATTATTACCAGTGGCTTTTGATTGTTCCTCTGATGATGTTTGTGATGAATCCATTGTAATACTAAGCGGACTGTAGATTTTTTGCACTTTGGTTGAAGCATTTGGAGATTTAAAAAAAACAGGAGGTTGAGGAGGCACAGGAATGTTTGCTACTTTTGTATATGGCATGTTCTTTGATGTCTCATCACCACTACTATTTGACTCAGAACTGCTTCCTCCCATAAAATAATTATCCATCCGTAGCTTTTTCTTTGATGCTCTTTGACGTCGAATTCTTTTCTGAACCTCTGTGTCGTAGCCACTATTTACGTCTGAGAAGTTCTCAGCTTCCCTTAACTTCTCTTTTCCTTTTTCGAATGAGTCTGTAAAAGAACATCACATACAGAAATACTAAAAGATAAGAAAGGTGATGGTTTGAAACATAATTGATAAATCATGTCTCTTTATCTTTAGTAATCTTAGTTACAAAAACATGCTAGGTAGCAATTAGTTATTTCTAGAAATGAGAGCTCTTACCATAGGTGAATGGTAAAGCAAGTTAGAGATCAAAAAATATTTTGTGTTTTAGGGCTTTACTCTTTATAGGTCAAGCTCATTGCTGGTTAAAATTTTATGTAAACAAAGTTTATACAGGTGAATGTTAAAAATTTGATAATTTACAGAAACTAGACCTATATAACTGTCATGAAATTTGGTCTTATGTTGATCAGAATGCATTAAACAGTAGGCCTATTTGATTTAAAATCATTTATCAGCATATTTAGCATATTTAAAATTTGATAAAATCATTTATTCATTTTAGGTTTAGTACTGTAACTTTAATTAGCTTGTAAATTTGTCAACTATCTAATATTGTACCTAAAAATGTGTAGGTACTCCTCTGGTTACAACAATCCTATGTATTTCTGTATTTATCTGCAGAGATTAGTTAGTTATAAACTACAATGAACTCATCTTACCTGCATAGGCAACAATGTTTTTTACTGGATATGTTTTCCAATCCCCATTTGGTTTCTCCAAATTTTTCACTGCTTGATCGTATCTGGTATTACTTGTAAAGTTTGGCCAGGAGCACGTCATTTCACCGGTTTCCCCAGTGATCCACTTGGCTGCAACCAACTGAACTCCATCCGGAAATTCGACAATTGCATAGGGTCGACTATCCAATCTGCAAAACAAATTGGAATTTTATAAAAAAATACTCACGCAAAATAATAGTATTATAAAAATACAATAGTAATGAGTGAACATAGTGGAATGTGAATCAAAGGTGCAAAGGCAACTTAAAAGTGCTTTTGAGGGGATAGTAATTTTGAAATAGTTTGCTACATCTTCAGGAAAATAAATTATCATTAGAAGAGTAGAGATATCAAACACAAAATTGCATTTTGTTTTAATAGCCTACATGTTAGTATGGAAAATGTATTCAAGCTATGCTTCTTTTCAATGTACGTTAATTAAAAAAAACTTATATTTTTGATCTGTAATAGAAATTGTCTTCTTTGTTATTTGATTAATTGTGTTCTTAAAATGCTGAAATATAGTGCATATTGACACTGTATGTACCTGCATTTTTGGAGATGTTAGGTTTAGGTGCTTAAAAGGACTCTAATTATTAAGTTATTATTTACAAAAGTCAGTTAACATAAAAATATATTATCAAGCCTTTAAACAACTCTTTCTGTGTTGATCAAAGAGACCAAATTCAATAATTAATTTACAGGTATTGCAATTAGAAAAACTTACAGCGCAGTTTCATGTAGTCTACATCCATAATCGTCTTCCATTACATTCATAAAGTCTTAAACTTTAATTCAATCTCTGTGGAGCAAAGGCACTGCAGCATATTTAGCAGAACCCATTGGAATTCTCATATATTTACAATTTACTTTACTGAGAGGCCAGATATTAATGTTCTTTTCGTCGCCAATGACAAATGTATTAAGTAATGAGGAACTGCACGGTTTGGAGAATAAGTCTTTTTTTGATGCATATTCATTACCAATGATTACTGGAGTTTTATTTATAGAACAGATTGCAATATTTTTTATTTTCACTATCCTCCCTCCTTGAATGCCACAAACATTATCGGCTTCACTTTTGCTACTCAAATACATATTTTTGTACTGAATAGCAGAGTACTGTGGGGACTCACAATTAGCTGGAAGTGGCCCATTGTTATGTTGTGATGTAAAGATAATTTCAAAAGTATTTGTCGTTTTTGATGGTTTGCTAACATTATTGTGTTGCATTTCATGATACCTCCGTATGATTTGTTGAAGTGGTCTTTCAGATTTGCGCAGTTTTCCCTTCAGTAATTGCAAAAAGTTTTCAAACTTAAAGGCACTGAATTGATCTAGAACCCCAAAGTTTATGCAATCGTCTGGTAGGTGGAGTAGCGCATGGATGTTATGGGACACATAACACTCTCCATACAAAAGAGAGAAGCATTTGACAAAATATTTCATTAACTCCCTGGCATAATCAGCTAACTGGTTCAATAATATCGGACAGCACAGTATTCTTACTGCTACATGCAAAGCAAGAAAATGATTGTATAACTCTTTCCTTAGAGCTTGTTTAAGGACAACAGGTCCAGAGTATAATAAGAACTGTCTATACTCTGTTGCTTTCCAGTGTGCTACTTGATTTAAGGGTCTTGGCTTCCGAACAAACTCTTTGGGGACAGATATGTTAGCAAGTTCTGTCAATTGATTAGAAATTATGGCTTCAGAAGCATTACCAATCCTCACAGATAGCGGCCCTTTCAACCAAAGTCTTATTAACTTCCTCATTACTCCCAAACATACAACATGCATATAATCAAATGGCACATTTGTCACAAGCCTTACGCCAGGGATAACTTCTAAAGGGCTTTTACCCATATGGTAGTCCTCATCTCTGTGTTGTAGGAAATCATCATCTGACCTCAAATTACCATCAATCAAAGGAAAACATACTCTTTTCTCCTTGTACTCACCAACTACAGTACATTTAGGACAACTGGAGTAGCCACCATGACTTTTTGTACATAAAACTAGTGATTTTGCTGGTGCATCACATGTAATTACTTTAAGCGAGAATTTATACATTTTATTGTTAAATTTGAAGCCATTTGTTGTGAGGTCAATACACTCCTTGACGAAATCCTCCAAGTAAACCGAACAATCTGACGGTTTGGATGTACCAAAATACAGACCAATCATAAATACATCTTTTGATTCAAATAAAGAACCTAATATGGGCCACAACGCACTATTAGATGATTTTGATATGGGCAGACCATCAATATTAATGGCCAGTTCAATACCTTTGAAATTATCAATTTGAAAATTGGACCCACCTAAATATTTACAGACTTCGCTTTTAATTCCAAAATGGTAATAGGAGCCAGGAGGTACACTTTTAACAATAGAGCTACGAGGTGTTTTGAGAATAGTTCTTGCATCATTTGGAAGGTTTGCATGACAAGGATGTGTCTTTAAAAGTTCAAGCAAAGAACCCAAGGCTGTGTGGGTGATGTTGTTGGTAAGAGCCCAGTTTGCTAGTTTACTTTCATCTATGTCCACAGAAGTATTACATGGATTTTTAACTGAGGAATCATTTGAAAAGATATTTGATTCATTGTGGTCATCATTGGTCATTGTGCTTGACAAAGTAGAATTGGAAGAAGAAAAACAATCTGAACCATCTTCAAGTGAATCTGTGTCAGAATATGATGAACCATATATGTCTGTTAGAAAGCTGGGTGATGAAGTGGAGGACAAGGGTTGTGTTTGAGTAGATGATTGAAGTGTTGAGTTATCATTTGGAACAATATTGGTTGTGTGCTGGCTAAAAAAACTATTTACAATCTCTTCATCCGATGAAATCTCTTGTTCTGAATAATTCTGCTCTCTATCAACCAGTCTGCGGATGTGACGTGATGAATAAGTACATAATTTCCTTTTTGACATTTTTTAGGTCTTCCCTTTATCTCTTTATGTAAAAGTTGTTGTCCTAAAATTAGAAATACCATAAGCTATAAACATTATAAAAAACAAAATAGTTTACTAAGTCACCGGTTCCCAAACCTTTTGGTTTTACGACCCACCTACATCTTCGATTTTTCCTTTCACAACCTACTTAATAATACGGTACTAAATTTGGATAAATAACCTCTGGATCGTTATTAAACATTGTAATAATCTAAGGTTAACCTTACGATCCAATTGATTTAATGTGTTTAAACTTCTAAAAGATTAGCTTAGCCTAGGACTGACGATAACGCTCCGGCGTAGAAACCTAGGTCTCCAAAATAAATCCAAGATCGTAAGGTAGGCTAAGCCTTAGATTATGAAAACGGTACTAGAATTAACTTAATTACTTTTCATCATCACGTTATTGTTATTAAGGAAAAGTTTAATGTACATTGATGTAATGATGCAATCCAACATAAATCATTGTAAGTTGTGAGAACTTAAGTTATCCAATGCAATTTTCATAATTTATCAAACTGATCATAATTTAATCCGATAATTTATCATAGGTACGGTACTCTACGGAACAGTACTTAGGCCTAGTTAACTTAGTGTAGCCTATTTTAAATTAGGCAAAATCTTTCAAAACCGTTGATGAAATTTTTTTGTTTCCTACTTTACAAAGGCTTATAGGCTAGCCTTTTTAAAAATTCAACTAGCCTAAATAGTCAAATTTATTTACATCGCTTTGTCATAGACTGAGAAATACAAGATATTTAACTTAGGTAAGTTAAGTTCATGCTATTTCAGTTAAGTTTGCTACCTCAGGGTAGACTTCCATAAGTTAAGTGGGGCCAAAAACAATCGAATGAATAAGTTATATCAGTCAATATATCGATTATTTCATTCAATGTATCAAGTTTCGATAGTTAGGTTAACTCATAACTAACCAAATAAAATTATAAGTTAAGTTACAGTAGAGCGTCAAAAGTCCGAACCAATTAGTAGGTAGTTCAGATTACCGATTTGTTTAGATTTCCAAACACAACCTAGAAATGCCTAATAGACATATATAATTGGGCCTACAGTATTAAAAATACAATTTTACTTTTTGTACCAGTTTAAACACAGCCTGATGATGGAAACCTAGTTTCCGAAAGCGCTTGTGATTAAAACAATTGATTATATATTGGCCTTTTTGAACTTTTAAATTTAGTTATAACTTAAATTTCATTAACTTAAGTTAAACTCCAAAAGTTGAATTTACTTTTTATAGCCTAAGTTTAAACGTCTTTCACCAGCAATATTTTTGTTATTGGCGAGAAAAACAAGAATCATGGTATTTGGGCGAGTCACGGTAAGTTATTTGGCAAATTACCGGTACCTTATGTTTTCATTTTGTTCTGTTTGGCCCCACTTATGAAAGTGAGACCAAAACCATTTAGGCCAAGCTATAAGTTAAGCCGAGAGACTAAGCTTATTGCCCCCCTCTCCACCTAAACCACCGGACAGCTCTTGCACCCCTGGGCCTGGGCCCATTTATAAAAGCAGTCTTGGACTAATTAAGGCTGCACTTTACTTTATGTCCTACACTCATTTGAATGAAAATATCGATCGGTAGAGGCTATCGATTATCATTCGACATATCAAGTTTGGTTAGTTAGGTTAAAACCTAACCTAACTAACCCAATGAAATAATCGATACCTATATCGAATGATCTAGGCCTAAGTTATATATCGATATTTTCATTGGGATGAGTGTAGGACGTTTTAAAGTAAAGTGCAGCTCTAATTACATAGGCTAAGTTAAGTTACAATTCCTTGTACGTTTATTTATTTTTTAGGCCTAAGTTATCTCAGTTATTTTTAATTACTGTTAGGCCTATTTTAAACTTAGTCCTAAGTTACTTAGATATGGTATAGGCCTAACCCTGGTACGAAGCACATTCTGATAAAAAGGCCTCTGCAATAAGTAGGCCTAGGCCTGAATTGGCCTACCTAGTCTAGGCCTAAACTAAGTTATTGAAATTTGGGTTTTTATGATCACTAAGGTTACCTTGGTTCATAAACTCTTTAAGTTTGAAAATATCGATCGGTATAGGCTATCGATTATCATTCGATATATCAAGTTTGGTTAGTTAGGTTAAAACCTAACCTAACTAACTGAATGAAATAATCGATATACATTATCGAATGATCTAGATAACTTATATCGATATTTTCATTCGGATGAGTGTAGGACGTAAAGTGAAGTGCAGCCCTGATTACATAAGTTAAGTTACAATTCCTAACATTTATTTATTTTTAGGCCCAAGTTAATTTTATCTCAGTTAGGCCTATTTTAAATTACTGTTAGGCCTATTTCAAACTTAGGCCTAAGTTACTTAGATATGGTATATGCCTAACTCTGGTACACAGCACATTCTGATAAAATGACCTCTGCAATAAGTAGGCCTAGGCCTGAATCGGCCTACCTAGGCTACTAGGCCTAAGCTAGGTTATTGAAATTCGGGTTTTTATGATCACTATGGTTACCTTGATTCATAAACTCTTTAAATTTGACCGTTTAAGCGTGATTAATATCCATCTAGGTCTACTTCATTAAAAATGGCTTAAGTAGCCTAGGCTATCATGTAATTTGACTCGACCTAGGCCTACAGGGATCTTTAAATGAACCGGGATATTAAGATAGCGGTAAAACTTAAATGGGTTAGTAAAAAGTATACAACAATCTTACAAAAAATATTATAAGGTAAGTAAATTATACAAAATTAATTTCACTTACCTCTCAATTCCATCCATGGATTCGTCAGGCAGGTAAAGGTACAACGACAACGAATTTCAACGAAACGAAAGACCAACGCCAAACGCCATTAACGCCAACAAGCCAAGGACAAAAATGTTCGCGTCAAAAGGAACCTGAAGGTGAAAAGAAAACTCACACGCACACGGGCAGTTACACTTAACATGTAGCTAGTATTAGTAAAGTGTTATAAGCACCATTGTACATACAACAATATTTATTTTATTTCAAATAAATTTATCTTATCCACACGCACATTATTAAGTACGGTTATTTAGAAATACAGATTTAACAGTACTGGAAATCAAGCGCATATTGTTTACACCATCCAATACCACAAACAAACCAGCACAAGGTATGTCTATTCTAATACAAACATAAACACAAAAATAATATAATAACGCATAAATGACATATACTAACCTCAAAATATTTGTGATTTTAATCATAATTATTATATAAATGATTTATACAACAAGAGTCTCCTTTACAATATTGCCCCTTTTCACCCGCCTTATCATAGATTACACATAATCATTGATTTTTCATCTTGATAAATATCAGCCAAAGTCAATGTTAGTGTTATTCCGGTTGATAGAATATTGGCAATAACGTCGCAAGTGGTGTTAGTGACAGACGTCCCATGAGATAACATGGCAGACAGGTGACATCAGCTCATTTATTCGCACTTTATTGATTTAAATTTAAATTTATGAACATGAAGTTATTAAAATATTGAAAATAAAACATACAGAATTGAAAACCGAAACAATATGAATTAAAAATCTATATCTGTAAATTTTTAAGCGGATTAAATATTGTCATATAGTCCAGTAATCAATCTTTCGTAAATACACAAATACCATTTAACTGCTTCGAAACAAAACAGCTATTACAACACCACCACGGCCGCCTTTAACTACAGGCCGCGGCCTTCGAACTGGCAATGTCGCAAGTGGTGTTGTAACAGCTGTTTTTGTTTGTAAGAAAATCGGATCATTTTGTTCGAGTTATCGCGCTAACGGACATATAAATATATATATATATATACTGTATATATATATATGAATTTGAACGGATGGTGTTTTTGGCCTCTAGGGACCTCAAACGGGAAAAACGGAAAAAAACGGAAAATAATCGGTCCCAGATCCAGGTCTTACCATGAGTACTACGATAATAGCTTATATCCCTATATGGGAAATTCGCTAAAAGTAGGATATCCATTGGATGTCCTCACGATATCCACGATATCCTGTAGGATATCGTGGATATCCCTGAGATATCCCGTATCTCCCGGGAAATCCAGGATGTCCCACGGACATCCTAAATGTCCCGGGTTATTGCGGGATATCTCTAGGATATCCTACTAATCCCGGGATTTGGATAGGATATGTGGGCCTTTTATAGGATATCCTGGGGACGTCGTGTGCTGTGTGGGTACGTGAAGGCGATTTCTACGAAACACTACTTCTCCGTTAATAATGGACAGATTTTTACAAACGATGTGTCAAAATTAAGTATTTTTTGAGTAGACCAAAATTTTTTCACCAATTCCCGTAATAAAAGTCCTTGGGCTTTGCCCCACAGGCCATCAAAATCCCAATGTATTTCTTATGAAGAAAAGATTTAGTTTACTTAAACAGGCGAATAACTTGTATTGATTGCATACTAAAACAGCTGTTCATAGTAAACACATGATACACACAAGAGCCTTCGATTTCAGTTTCGATAACTGGAGTGGTGTGATTGATTACATTATCTTTGAGTTGGCTGTTTTAAACTATCGGAAATTATGACTGTTGGGTATTTGTTTAAAAAAATTAACGCCTGTAATACTTTGCAAAGATTTGCTCGAATTCGAGCAACAGGTGCACTAGTTTATAATAATAGTGGGAGACCGAGCTTCACTCAGATTGATTAAGACATTTATTAATAAGTTAATTATTGAGTCGACTCTCCAGCTCAAAATTATCAGCCTGTTGTTTATCATATTGCTCGCAGTGGCGGATCCAGAGGGGGGGCGAGGGGGGCGACCGCCCCCCCCCTCGGGCATACATATACATGAGTGAAAATTTAAAAACGTACGTTTTCAGAAAAAGCACTTTGCAAATTTTTTTCCCCTTTTTTCAAAACTTTTATTATTATTTTTATTTCATTAACATTTGAAGTTTCATAAAATGTCCATGGTAACGCAATATCTTTGGTAGTTTCTTTTTAAAAGAGCATCTTTAGTGGAAAAACACAAAATCCTGTCACGACCATAACGGACGTTTAAATGAATATTAAAAATGGTTAATATTATTTTTATAACTATGTTTTGCTATAAACTAATTTACTTTTATGACCATTATACAATAAAAAGGTCACTAAACTTTTAGTATATTTGGTCTTTCCAGAAAAAAATAAAAAAACTCAAGTTTGTAATGATGAAATATTAATATCAGTGTTGTGAATAATATTATTCTAGTCTAGAAAACAATAAACCTAAAATAAGACTTGTATAAAATAAAAACGTTCAACTTTGTTGTTGGTAAACTTATACATACAATAAAAAACCTTCGTCTTCAAAAACTAGAACTTAGACAAAAATCAAACGAGTGAAAGTCAAACATCAAATTTTAGGTTACGTTTTGTCCACGTAGATCTGTTTCAGAGTGATTAGTTGATTCAGTTTTGTAAATCCTTATAGGAATGATAAATAACTTGTGTAGATTTTTTAAATATATTCAGAGAATAAATATTTCATTTAGGTTATTAAAAAATAAGAGTTTTAAAGGTAATACCGATACACAAAACCTATCTTTAAAGTTATTTTAATCTGCTTATTAGCAAGTACTCCGGTCAGTTAGCCTGATCCAAATACCACAAAAAAAGGTATAAAATATATTTCATGTGACTGACGTGAAAAATATTTTTGAATTTCTTGTAAACACTAACAAACAACATAATTAAACTGAAGAGCTACATCGCTTGCACTTTCAAAATTCAAACTCGCAGTCTCGCACAGACGAATCATCAACACAGGACAGGATCAAGGTAGCCAACATACGTCCAATAAGGAACAAAATTTCTCGTAAACGAAATTCCAACAAGCTATACCGCTAATTGATTATTGATTTCTTAAAATAAGGCGTGTTTAGCCATGGTTTAGCCTTGTTTAATCAAAGTTAAATGAAATCAAAGAGGTGTCAAGTTTATTTGTCCAAGTCAAAGACATTTTTATCTTTGATGGATTTTCGCAAATATTTAAATTTTGTTTAGTTAAAAAAATATATTTTTCTCGTATCTGACTTCCCAACTCTCCCAACTCAAGGCAAGGAAATTCCCAACTTTTCTCTTTCCCAGATTCTAGGGGGGGGGGGTGGCTCCCCCCCTACCCCCTCCCCTAAGGCGACGCCCCTGGTCCTGGCGAGCAACTGCAGTGGCTCTGTGTGAAGACTCCCATTTAAAATAATATTAAAGCTGTGGCGGGCAACCAGTATCTACCACCAGTGGCCTCGCGTGAAAGGGCCCCAAAGAGTAGAAAATTGACATCAAGAACACATGGTTTCAACAAGATGGGGCCAATGCCTCTATGGCAGCAGTTTGAGTGTTATTTCCTGGGCGTGTGATCTCACGGTTTGGTGATGTTGTGTGGCCACAACGTTCACCGGACTTGTCAATTCAATGTCTTTTGCCTGTGGAGTCACCTGAAGAATACACGTGTTTACAAAGAAACACTACATACTCTCGATTAATAGAAGGCCGCAATCAGGATCAAAATTGAAGTAATCAATGAATTAGTTACTGAACAAAGCTTTTAAGCAAGGCTTGAAAATGTGTGTCCGTTTTAATGGCCACAATTTGAGTAATGTAATTTTTTAAACTTTCATTTCAATGTCAATAAAACTTTTCTATGTTTAAAACTTTAAGATCAATAGCATTTTTCAATCCATCCGTTACCCATGGACCACCCTGTATAAAAATGTATCGACAGTCGCTCTCAGTGTCGCCAACATAAACCATTTTAGTGTCGTCATTTTTTTTCTGACCCTAAAAACGTAAAATTTTTCAACATAAAAAAGCTTACAATGGGATAGAACTCTATTTGTGTTGGTTTGTCTGTGGTTGTACAGATCATTTCACTCGATTCCACACTCATTGTTCTTGTCATATTCAGCTAAAAAATACACACCAGAGTGTGCGGCCTTTGAAGAATTTAATTTAAAAAGTTGGTGGAATAACTAGTTATTCGTAAGGTGTCATCACACATAATGCATAAGGCAAGATGAGATGAATTTTGAATTAATAAGATGACAGCTTTTAGAGCAAGAGCCCATGACTGCCAGACCTTCGTTATTTTATAAAAGCTGAAAGTTTCTCAGCACATGTTCCCAATTCAGTTAAATGATCAGCAACTATGCAATTTTGATCTTGGTTACTTTGGCAACAAAAAGGTAAAAAAGGTCTAAAATTTGCAAATAACCTTTGTATAAAGCTTTTATAAAAAGTTTGACCCTCTGTTTAAACCGCACAAAGTGTCTGGCAATGGAAGAAATGATTTCTAACATTCCTCCGAAGAAATGAAAAAACCAAGCTTTATAGCCTACCATAACGAAGGTTATTTGCAAACTTCAGACCTTTAGTTACTATTTTGTTGCCAAAGTAACCATGATCCAAATTTTATAGTCGCTGATCATTTAACTGAATTGGGAGCATGTGCTGAGAAACTTTCAGCTTTTATAAAATAACGAAGGTCTAGCAGTCATGGGCTCTTGGGCTATTTGTTAAACGACTACATGAGATCAGCTGTTTCAAAGACTTACTATGAAGCCACCATTTTTATAAAGCCCAATAATTTAGAACAACTTGTTCAAGTTTCAGGTCTATACATGCAACAAAACTTGGTGAAATGGGTAGTTTGATCCAAACAAAAAGAGTCATTTAAAGATTTATTCAGTAAATAATTTATTTCAATACAAAACAATGAATCTCTAATTTATACAAATATCATTAAGTACAATTTAATAATCAACTTTATGAAAACAAGTCAAAAAGGAATGTTTTAGGAACACTATAAATCATTTTGCATAAGCTTAAAAAGTCCTCGATAAATATATTCCATCATAAGATCAACAATGAATTTAAAATTCAATATTTGTAACATCATACTGTTATATGTAAAAGTACCTATATTAGTTATTATAAAACAGCCTAAAAAGCGTTATAAATACTGTACATTTATTTATTTACACATATTCCATACGTTATTCAATATGCTCTTACTTTGGTAGGTAACTGTATGGATAAATCGGAGGTAAAACAGAAGTCAAAGTCTTCATCCCCCAGAAGCTCATTTTCACTTGTATTTTATGGGCTTTTTCTTCTCAGGCTGTAACATAAAATAAATTTGTTTGTAAATTATAGGAGTTACCTCTAACAACCGTTGACTTTTGGATAGTAGTAGACGTCCCATCTACATGGACCAGTTGTTAGTAGAGAATTTTTATTCAAATATAACATGGTTAATTATTAAGCCATCCACAGCTAGAATATATTTAGATCATCTTTGTTGTGGTAGCCTCTAGTTATTAAGTACTGTTGTAGGTAATATGTTTCTGTCACCCGCATTTCAACAGCTAGTGGAATCTTCATTGCTCTTCTTAAGATATCTTATTGTTATGGCTTACACTATAGTCTATACTGTATTTACAAAAATATTTACACACTGGCAGTCATTCACTAGTATCGCGGTCGTATCAATTGGACAATGCGACGACGGACACGAGTCGATGTCACAGCAGGAGGTGCTTTGATCTATGTTGTTGGTTTGTACAAAGGATCCACCTGACCATAAAGCAAGAAAGTCCAAACTAACCTTTTATAACCCCCGAACGGCCCAAATTCAAATTCCAACACCCCCAATCCAAGAAATGAAACGGAGGAAGCAAAACCTCCTGCCGTGACTCTGTTCGATCGACCCAAGCGCGATACTAGTGAGTGTGTGAGTGTAAATATTTTTGTAAATACAGTATATACAGTATAGTATAATGTTGATAAAGGCCCTTTCAATTTGATTATGTTAAAAATGTTGTATATATCCACAAGTAATCGTAAATTGACATCAACACTCTCTCTGTCGGGGATTTGGCTGTTGCTTCCAACATGGATATCAATAGTCAAAACTGATATTTTCAGCTGTGAATCTGCCTGACATGTGCTGCAACCTAACTAGAGACTAATATTATTGGCTATGAATACTATCTTTGACTATTTATGCACCTCTGTCAATACAGTGAACAATAATTTGAAAGTGACCAGTAACTTTTGGTTGATATTAGTTTATTGAGCGCTATGTCTAATTGGTAGCCAAGCAGTTTTAGAGTAGCCATGAGAAGATTTAGATTAATTAACCATTCAAATACCCTCTTGGTTGTCAGCCATTTATAAGTGTGTATCAGTGCCAACTATAAATCTTTAAAACTCCAAAATCTATTTAGAAACAAATTGTAAACACGTTCTTGAGCTAGTGCCTTTTTTACCCAATGCATAGAGAACAAATGCACAGAGGAAACATTCAGCCATACACTTAAGTTGTGTCCAGCACTAATCGCTGGTGTCTAGGACAAAGTACAATACCACCCCCTTTGTCATCATGTACTACAACGCTCATGGGGAATGAAGACCTTACACCTTTTCTGTGCGATAGGAATTCCTGCTGAGGCTCCTCCTTGCTCAGCAGGAGGAGGTATAGTAAAAGTATCTGGCAGCACTAGTCCTGAAAGGGCACGATCATCCCTTCCTCAAGTTTCCTCTGTACCTCACTTCTCTATGCCAAAGTGATTACCTTAACAACAAGATTCTGAAGCTAATAGATTTTATTCGTAACTCATTCAAATTTCTATAGATCAAGAAATGTTTCTATCCATAATACTTTTTCTTGAGCTAGCAACATTAAATCCAATGTAAAATTCTTACCGGTAAAATACTAAAGCAGCACGTCAGATCTTCCGAGACAGACATAACAGCTCCGGCGTTGTCAAACTCGCCGCAGTAGTTGGGCGCAGAGAAGAGTGTGAGAAGGTTGCGATGGGAGAAGAACTGATATCCATCCTCGACCACCTGATGTGCGCGGACGATGAGCGAACAGTTGTGTTTGCGGAGAAAACTACGGACGACATCGCCACCGAACACGTAACTCACACCTCGGTCGTTCTGACCCCATCCTATCACACCCTGCAACATGATGTTGGTTAGCTTTAGTAAATTTTATGTGTTACAGTTCCATGTTTTCATCTTTGAGGTTTTGGTTTTAGCATACATTTTTATACAAGTCCTGTTTATGCTCCTAAACCAATCAGATAAGCAAAAAAGTGAAGAAGTGTACACAGATACCTGAGTCAGTTACATATGCGGCTGTATATATATTAGATTAAAATGTTAAAAATAATTAAAATAATAGTTTCTACTTTGTTTGTAATCCTTTAAAAGGCCCTAAGCTTGTCTTTCTTTCATCAACTTTCTGTTTATCAAATATTTGAGAAGTATATAAAATAAAAAGATCATTGATACTAAACAAGAGCAAATTTGATTTAGAAATAAACAATATAGTGTATGGATTTTCACCTCATATGCTGTTGTTTCCTATCAAATTTGCCTTTGTTTAGCATCGATGATCTTAACTAGTATGTAAGCCTACTTATAAAATTGGAAATGTTGACTTAGTTACTGAAGCTAGTGGGAAAGCTTAAAGGTGACCAATTAGGAAAACAGCTACGATGGTGTCACAGATCTTAAAGGCCCGGGCCAGTTCCATGTAGGGTTATATGACAGGTTCGGTCAAACAGACAAGAAGATACAAGATATATACAAGAAGATCCTTCTATTTGGTTGTACTGTAATGGGAAAAAGCGGAACCTAAAACTGTTTTAGCTAAGGGATGATAAATTAACAAGTAATGAGTTTCATAAGTTGGCAGCAGTCTGAACAACAATTTACAATCTCTTATATACTAAAAAACTTTTGCAAAACTTATCACAGCTTATACCATACTACTGGACCAAATTACACGATGTTGATACCAAATGAAAGATATTTTCCTGTAGATGTGCAGAATCCCTTTATAAATTAAAATAGGCCGAAAAATGAGCACAGAAAATGAATTTAAAATGAAAAAAAAAATAACATGGACCTTATGGGTTGCCATGTTGGTGACAAAATAACATCAAAATATAAACAGAAAATCAAAACAAATGGAAGAAATTCCAATCACATGTTTTTTTTACAGCGTGGGGTGAAAATAGAGAAGTTTGCACAATACACATACTTTTTGAGTTTTCGACCACGGAGCGAGCTCTCGTAATTACTCTAAAAATTTAATGAACAGCTGATCATGTTCATTACTAAACATTTTATTGCATATGGATACAACAATCCCATTAGTTTTGTTTTATTACTTGTTTGTGAAACCCAAAGCTCTGCAGTTTGTCTTTGTGAGAGTGTTTGATTGGTACACAGGTGGCTATCAGAGTCAGTAACCAATCGATAACAATGTTAACTGAAGCAGTTGTTCTCTAAATTTTCACGTGATTCACAATAATACAAAAGATTAGTGAAAATAACATGAAAATGCAAATTTAAATGTCTTTGTAAATGGTTGGGGTCTCTAAATGGCTCTGATCTATTGTTTAGGAGATACTGAAGTTTATTGGATTTAGAAAGGGTTGAATTAATAAGACGTTAATTAATTAATACACACATGTACTGTTGATCTTTAGGAACCTATATTCAACAATCTCCTACAGGCCATAGGTACGTCTGCTCAATTCAAATAATTTATTTCTCTAAAAACATAAACATATACAAGGTACCATCATATTTTATATGGTGTTCATCTTTAAAGTGACATGAAAATCAACAGTGAATTTACTACCGTATCAGGGTTAAATTTGAAATATTCTTATTTTAATTCCTCTTTCAAGCAAGCTTTGAGGTATTTAATAAAAATTATAGAGGATCTAAACATCCTCAATCGAGCAATATAGCATAATATGATAGGTATCGACATTCAAACCGACATCACTTAATCCTAAGAAACCTTTGAAACACTTTCTGACCTCCTGATGAATAATAAATAAAACACGAAACTGTTTCAAACGTCAGTCTTGAGTTATGAAACCAAAACAAAAGGAAGTTTAACTGACATTTCCCTTCAACTGGCAAGAAGCCACTGAATTAATAAACTTTGAGTCTGTAAGACCTTGTTCCTCCCTTGTCTAATGTGAGAACAAATTATAAATTTTAGATGTCAAACTTTAGATGAATCCTAGACTCGAAACTTGTTGACACCTGCTTTACAAAGTGCTTGTAGTAAAACTTGAAGAGATTTTTATTTTTAAGAAATTAATATTATCAATATTTCACATAATCTGCTGTATTTTAAATTCTTTTCATTCTGACAACTTAACTCATCATCTTGAACCAAATCTAACATGTTTCCCAATACCGGTATGCCACATCTATGAAAAAAAGGGGAAAAACATCAACAAGGGATATTTATAAGCTGGGCTTAGGTAGTCACAATGTGTACCACAGCAGGGTCCTAAGATAAAACATATTAAAGTAAAAAAAGTGACCAACATAGTTTCATCAAACTTTTTAGGAATTTTCTAGTCTGTTATGTTCCTTTTTCTGACCAAACTAAAACTAAACCAAAACTAAAACAGAGGCCCTCTAAATACATTGTTATATCACTAAGTACAGTATTCTTTTTTGATATCTCAAGCTACATTGAAATACAATCCTCAAAATAAAAAAAATCAATACTTGGCACTACCAGTTTAACCAGAACAAGGACTTTATTTTTATTTGTCTTGCATAGACTTTATTCCTATTTTTAAGAATGACAAAAGGAACAGAACCAATCCAACAAAAATACTGTACTAAACGAAATTAAAATGATATACTGTAAAAATTACCCCTCTTTAAGGATTGTGAAGAGATTTAAAACGCAGATCCCTTATTTTAGAGTTTATTTTCACCATTTTCATGGATAGGCATCCACAGTCACATGCTGTCGATTTGTGTTCTTTGGGCGACAACAGTGTCAAAACAGTGTGTTGCTAGCCTACCGGTAGTGGTTAGTGTCTCGGACTTCGGTATGGGAGGGACGGGTTCAATTCCCGACACATCCACAAAGCTTTATTCTCATGTTGACCTATTGTAAAATGCCATAGGTTAAAAAAAACAATCAAACCCATTTGTCCTTGTTTTAGCCTTGATGTAGAAACTTACTAAAAACTATTTTTTTTACAAATACATTATTTCAATCCTACCTCATCCGGGTCCCCCCAGAGCAGGTCACACACCAGGCCAGAGTCCGGAACATCCAGAGGCCTTGGAATAGTCCGGATCTGAGGAATAGAGAGTGAAATTGGAAGAAACATTATACATACAGTACGTCAAATACAGTGGTTCTAGGGTGAAAGAGGAATTGGAAAGAATACACTGCACGTAAACGTGATCTGACAATTATTCAAAAACAATTAAATTTGTGTGTGTTGATAGCTTTAGCTGTTACCTTTAAGTAAAACCTTCTAATTAGTCATTCTTCTTATAATATTTCAACTGTCAGCATAACAAAAGCGGTTAATATACAACAAAAGCAGACATTCTCACTGCCAGGAATAACAAGAGAACAAGAGAGGACATATTGGTACAAATTCTATTTCAGTATCAGTCATTGTTAGAATATTTGTGAGGCATTAATTGACACTATTCAAACAGAATATTCACTAAAACTCCCAATGAATGCAGTCCAGTATCAATAGGTTATGATTTACCTAAACATAAACCTTTATGTGAATTGTTTTAGTTACTTACTTGATTAAGATCTACTAACTGTGGTGATAGTCCTCCATGCATACAAAATATCGTTCCTTCTATCAGAGCCGCTGGAAATAAAACAAAATTCAATTAATATACTAAAATTATCATTATGTTCTTATTTTATACTCATGTTGGGCTCAAGCATATTATTGAAACCTTTTTTTAAGAAAATATAAAGGCATAAAGAATTTTAGAATCATATTTATTATTTTGGTAATGGTACTTTTAGCATTTGTGTTAATAGTGCATCATAATTCTTTCCCATCTAATCGGATTAAAATTGTCATTTATTTTCTGTCAGAACCACCCCCTTTTTTGTTGTTAGGTGAAAATTGAATTGAAAATTGTATCAGAAAGGGAAGCAAAATCAGCTTAGATGTATAAAATGATAGTGTTTACTTATAATTTAAAGTACAATATAATGAACAAGTTAATGACTGATCTTTGATTATTTACCTTATTAACTTTTTGAATCCGGTGTGCACAAAATTTTACTTTAAAAGTTGTTTCAAACAAACTTTTTGAAAAATCTCATGAGAATATGTAGCTCATTTTAGACTTTTATATACTACAGAACAGGCTAAAGTTGGATATTGGGTAGTACAATAATTTATTGATATTTATCTATTTAATCATAGATATGGCTTGATCACTGTGAGCAAAGAACTGGGGACTTTGGAACAATATTAATTATATTGGGTTGTAACCTCATCGTGCCTGTAAGATTTCTGAACATTTTTCATTTTCAAACTGACATACCTACTGCTTATTTAGCATTGTATATTATATGCATCATTCATCATAGATGAACTTTATCTATGATACTAAGACTGAACTAAGGCATCCTCCAGAAGACTGATCGAAAACTTACCTACTGGAAGGCAGTTGAACAGATCTGTAAACGTTTTCCACAGTTTGACCGTGTATCTTCTTTTACATTCATCATAAAACCCGTAAATCCTGAAACAATCAAGTAACACAAACAGTAAGCTACTTATGTTACCCAAGAAGTTGGAGATTGGAACCCTGATGGTAAAATAGAGTTTTAATACCCAGAAGGCCTGAAATATATGGAGAAGGACACTGATGAAAGAGGTGAAACTGGTAGGCAAGACCCAGGTTTTGCGGGTTGCATGTGTTATGGACTATGGACCCGAGAGATAGTTAAGCCCCTCTCCACTATGTTGTGGAAAATTTTTTCTCTCCCTTGTGACCCCATCAAACCTAAATAAATCTCTTGCTCTCCTGGGCCTGGGTCCAGTTATTAACGTTATTCTTTCGATGCAAAAATATTTTTTTGTAATTTACCGAAAAATGCTAGAGTTATTTACTTATTTTGCCCAAAAAGTGCTAGGCTTGCCTTGGGGGCGAAGTCTATTGTACGAGAAATAAAATCGGTAAAAATAAAATTTTTTATCTTAAAAGTGCTAAGGAACAATATATTGGGCCTCGATCGTATTAGGAATTGAAAGAAAACCTTGCTGTTTCGATACAACAACAAAGTCAACCGATATGCCCATTTAAACTCACAAGATCGAAAGTCGTGCCAGCACGATGTAGCGTCCCTTAGCACTTTTCAGATGAAACGCGAACAGCGATATATCGTTCTATAGCACTTTTCGGGAAAAAGACACACAACAATATATCGATGCATAGCACTGAAAGGGTTAAGTCATCCCTGGCAAGACATGAAAATTACGAGTATTAAGAGAAGGGACCTACAGAGTGAGGTGAAGATGGACAGTAGGTGCCCTAAGGTCTAGCAGGAGTCTACAGGATATAAAAAGTTTTATTTCATATGTGCAGTAACTTGATGAATCACTATACCTTTTCTGTATGCAATCTTTGGAGCAGAATTATTGATCAAGAAGGAAAAATGTCTTCCGTAGTTATATAGTGACAAGCACACTTAGCATACAGTAATGTATGGATAAGAACAACAATAGTGACACCAACAAGAAACAAAAACATATGATACTAACAAAAAGAGCAGCTGTTTGGGCCCAAACAATGCGACATAGAGAGTCCGAACTTTTGAATATAGTTGTCCACCATCATGTCAATCACAAAATCTGGCATATTCCTTAGTCAATGAGTCCTTACTCAATGAGGGTTTAACACCAGTAACCTTTTTGAAGGTTTTTAAGCTACCACCATCAGGATACAGTTCTACAGTAGCTTTTCTATTGTCACTTTCAACCTTTTGAGCCACAATGGCCAACATATCATAGAAAAACAGTAATATAATAAAACATCCACTTTCAAATATCTATGCGAAATAGTGTCCTGTATGTTCAAATATCCTGTCCTTCCCATGTGCTACAGCCTGAAGGTCAAAATTTAAAGCATTAGGCTTCTGTCAATGGTTTAAATCCCGTCTCAGTCTGGTGGCCGTTTGTGAGTCGGTGACTCAGTTGGTAGCGTCACGGGCTTGGGGCTCTGGGGCCCTGGCCCAAGGCAACGATGTCGAGAGTTCGGATCCTGCTCACTGCCACTAAAATTTATCAGTACAGTTCACCTTCGTGTTGTACCGGCTCACCCCTTTCTTTGCTGGATAGGTTCCACGCACAGATCTGTGGTCTATGTGGATGGGCAAATGCAAGGTTAAAAGAGGTCGCCAATTTTTTTTTTTTTTTAAGTTATGGTGTACAACTCAAGAGGATTCCGCTTGTCTGTGGCAAAGTGGGAAGGCTCTCCTAAATAAATGGTGGTCAGCTTTGGTTGAAGTTGATGGGATGCAGGGGTGCCCATCCCCCCCTAGACTCATGACGCACCCCCCCCCAATTGAGCAACAGCCCCCCCCCAACCATAAATGATGTACACAACAAATGAGAAACATTATTCCCCCGCCCAGCACTATTTGTAAAACGATAAAAGAAGTTTTAAAATTTTTTTAGATATATAAAATTCAAACCCAGTTAATCTATATAAATTAAGTTATAGTTTTGTCTGTACATTGCTCAGAATTATACATATTTTGGGCTATTTATGTTTTATACATTGAAGAAGTTGAAATATGTCTTATCTCAATTTATGTCCGTCTGTCACGGCCCAGAAGGCATTTTATGCAGCATACTCTAAAGAAAACTAGAGTACCGATTATGATTCTAATGGTTTAATTGTATCCACAGGATTGGCGAGAGAGTCCTCATAGCCATTAAAATATGGCCTCACTATTTTGGAAATAAAATAACGGACGATCAAAAACCCAATTTTGTGTGATTTTTCTAGTTTATTTTCTCCATGTTTACTATATATGTCATTAATTTATGAAATACAGTACTAATAATCTGTTAAGAGAACACGTCATATATGAAATTGCGAACAGCTGTTTTGATAAAGATTCCTTTTCCTAGCTGTCACTGATATGTTTACATAAATGTTGTTCACGAATATTGTGTAGGCCCTAACCATTTCCAATCACGTTTGTAAGCAAACCCAAAACAAAGTGAGATTAATAACCGTGTGGCTTTGGCTTACATAACGGGTTTGATTTATCACGGGTACTAATATGTAACTGTAAATTAAATTAAATAACTAGCCATCATCCAGGTCGGGAACCGGAGATTCTGTGTGTATCAAGTTGTACTTGAATTTTGATTACAGGGAAAAGATCGTGAATCAGTGTTTTACAGGACTGGAAAACTTATCTTTCTATATAAATAAAATTAGAGTTTTATAAGTCACCTCAATTTAAGGAATTTTTTATTGCCAGAATATCCATATCGCGTTCGTAACGTAACCTCTGCTTAACGAATTGTCAGCGTCTTTCTCGATATAACGATCCCCTCTCCCTCCCTTTAGAAACATCACAGCTCCTTTGATGGAAATGAAATGGAAACAACGCTTGCGCCAACAATCCTCAATCGTCTGCTCCGTTTAAAGTTACCATGGTTTCTAATCACTCAATCACAGTTTACTAAGCATTAATCGACATCATTCCCCAGCTGTTGTATCTGAAATCTGTTGTAACATAGCGCACAGCAGACAGAAGTGTAAGGCCCCTATTACACTAGGTAGCCTGGCGACGTCGCCAGCGACCAAACTGGCTACTCAGCTTGTCATGGGGCATTGATTCTTATGGATGTTATTACACGAGGGTAGCCAGCGACGCAGCCACACTTTGGCGACCGACTGGCTACCGAGCCCCGTCGCCACTGTGGTAGCCACTGGCTACCCATATTGGCGACGCTGCGTTGTAGCATATGGAGCTTACACTTCTGTCTGCTGTGCGCTATGTTACAACAGATTTCAGATACAACAGCTGGGGAATGATGTCGATATAATGCTTAGTAAACTGTGATTGAGTGATTAGAAACCATGGTAACTTTAGTAAGGCTGTGATTTGCCAATGAGTAGGCCTAAATATGGCGACTTGTTGAATTAGTGTATGAGTGTATGAATTGAAAAGAAATAACCTATTAAAGAACATAAGAACAAAGAAAAAGAATAAAAGGATTTTTCTCAATACATTTTTTAAAAGAGTGTTTTAATTATCTCTAAATATAATTTTACACTTTTTTATTACTTACATATCAATTCCTATGCTGTGATACAGCACCTATCGGTAACCTATCCGTCTATCATGAGCATGAGCAGAACCTTAAACACAAGGTTCCTTTAATATATTTACGTTATTTATAGCAATAGCAATGCAATGTTTGGGTAGTGATTAGTTGAGTTTGAGTTATCTGCAATTTTAAACGTTGCCGTTTGTAAAACTGAACCAATATAAATTATTTGAAATTTACAGTAATAATGTTATTGCACAATAATAATTGTTGTGCAATATTGAATTTCGTTTATAAAAATGCAAATCGTGACATTAATGGCTGTTTACAACGTTTTAATGTTCCATCTGTTTGTCATCTGTTTTTATACTAAGTATATTGGATTAACCGTATTTTTCATTACCTCCCCCCCCCTCACCATATTAACTCAGGTAATCGAGTATCTACACATTAGTGTAAAGTATTGTAGCCTATGCTACTTGATTGTATTTTAACGAGCTTTATGTCAACAAAGCGTTCTGTGCTAATTCACGGTGTAGCTGGACGTGTCTGTACCGCATTATATTTATCTATCACAGCTCACTGACAGCAGTTGAGCCATCTCGTGCGCTCCCTCTCTTAGATCTCACGTCTTGCTAATCTTAAATAATAACTTTCTACACGAATCCTAAGCCATCTTAAAATCCTATTTTAACTCATTTAATTCAATAATATAACTATTGTCATTAATTAATCTACTTTCTATCTGGCGACTTCGTAATATATTTATTATTGTCGTCACGTTGAACACTGTTGCAATTAGCAATTAGCCCCATTTGAATTTTTTAGCCCCCCCCCCAAGAATTTCAATGACGCAGTCTGCGTCACAGCCCCCCCTTGTGGGCACCCCTGTGGGATGTGTGGATTCTTATTGACTTGTGAAACTGCCATTTTGCTAATTGTACTTCTAGGTCCCCACCAGTACTTGTTTCAAGACTTAATGAATTTATTTTGTTAGACAACAATTTTAACTGATATGTTAAACCACTTCTCTGTGGTGTAGCCTACTTATACTGACCTATTGATACTGGCACATTCGTGGTTACCCCGGAGTAGGAAGAAGTTGTTTGGATACTTGATTTTGTAGGCGAGAAGTAAACAGATTGTCTCCAACGAATTCTTCCCCCTGAAAAAAGTTCAGTTTTGTAACTATTTCTATCACATGAGAAAAGAGAAAGAATTGCTTGAACAAAACAGCTTAAACATACTTGCAGACCTGCAGACAATGGTGCGTTCACAAAATTTGGGGAGTTTGAGGGGAAGTCTCTCTGGGTGCCACCACTTATTTTGCTTGATGTATTTTGCAGCTGATTGACGTTTCAAGTGGAGGGGATATATTTCTTCCCCTAAAACTGCCTCAATTTGAGAGTATTAGCATTGACTATTGAATAATGAAGTAGACATCTCACCTATATGGACCAGCCGTTGTAAATTGTTTATTGCTGACCAAGTTAATACATAAGAACAGTTGCTATGGCTCACAAAAAGTCATTCAGATTTCATTAGCTTGACTTGGTAAAAAAGTTTGCACATATTCAATGGACATATGAGTAATTTAGATCCCACAATCTGTTTGTGGTTCACATTAACCATAACGATTTTATTTTAAAAACTGGCGATAACTTTAACATGGGATGGCATGTCTAGTTGTATCTAAGTCAAAGGTATTAGTGAATGTCCAAATGTCTGAATACACTTTTTTAATACGCGTCAACAGGAAGAATTCTTATCTTAGATTTATACAAACAAATAATACGGTAGCTCAGTGGAAACATTACCTTTGGAAACAGAATTTTTTTTCCTAGGACGCTAGGCATGATCCCGGAATTGTTTTTCACATTACTTCAGGCTAGACCTAGGGGTTACGGCATTATCACTTGGATGAAATCCATTGATGATTTGGCGGGGTTTGAGCCCGGGACCCCAGGAACCGGAGTCCCGCGCTCTAACCACTAGACCACCTCGCTCCCCTTGGAAACAGAAGTAGACATAGACATTCTATATATTGACCTGCTCCAGCTGTAACCTGTGTTTGACTTAAAACAGTCAAGGCCGTAGCCAGGACAAACTTTCGGGGGGGGGGGGGTCAGGTTGGTTGTAGGACTCTGACAAGAGGGTGGCCACCGGGGGGTTTGGGGGGTGTGGAGCAAAAAATTTGGAATTTTCAAAGCCATTTGGTGGCTTTTTAAAGCCATTTTTAACACCTAAAACCGTGCCCAATTGTCCATATAAACTCCCATTTCACCTGTTGTTTGTCATGAGCAAATAGACATTAAAAAAATTAAACAATGACGGTTGCATTCATGAATTTTAAATCACACTGTAGACTATGGCCATCCCTCCTAAAAGCCGTTGGGTGAATTTCTACAGCCAGTTTTAACGTCTAGAACTGTGTGCAAAACCTCCCATTTCCATTTCCCCATTTAATTGTTATGAATAAGTAGACATTTTAAAAACTGTTATGCCTATTGCATTCATAAATCTCAAAACGTATTGTAGGCTAATCTATATTGTAACTACTTCATAGTTTTAATACCTATTCCTATTTAGATCAGATTTATTAGAATGATATTAAATATGAATGGAAATTGCAAAACATAATAATAGGTAAATAAATCAGTTATGGCGCAAAATCGTTAAGCAAGTTTAAAAAAAGTGGGGAAAATAATAGAAAACATAACAGAAGTTATCTGCTAATTAGTAAGGTAAACAGCACTGTGATATATGGAGAGAAAACAGATTACAAAACAAAATTCAACCTTCTGCCATGTTTTGACGCAAAAATGTTTACAACCTCGTCTGTCGAAATTGATATACTCCTATGAACTGACATCAAAGCTAGGCCACAAAGCCGGTCTTGACCACAAGAGTTCCTGAGATAAGTCTTCAACCTTCTGAGTGTTGAGAACGTACGTTCTGGCATACAGGTGGTAACTGGAAGAGTGGAAAATATTTGTAAAAGTTTGAAAATGTTGGGGTAAAAATCTTTATTGCATTCTGAAAAGGCTTCAATCGCATTTGATGGACGATCACACTGTGCCTGTTTTTTCCAATTTATCTTCCACAAATCAAACTCGGATTCCAATAAGTCTAAGTCCACTTTATTTTGGTAAACTTTTAAATACAGTATTCCATATCTAAAACAGTAGATTCATTGCAACATAGAGACGGTAACAGAGCGTTCAAATTCTGGAAAACTCCTTGATGATCCATGAATCTTCCTTGCAATTGATTTGTAAAATCGTCAAGCAGTGGAATTGCCATCGCAATGCGAAAATATTCTTCTGGATCTGAAGTTTGTATGTTACATCGGTTGCGTTGTGATGCAGCGATACGAGGGACCTTGACTTCTCCACCAACATCAGCAAGCAAGGATTTAGCTGTCTTGTAGATACAAGAAAACTCCACCTCAATGTTCTTTCGCATATTCTGAAAGAGGTCTACAATGTTTCCAACATGATCTGTTGCAGATTTCAAATCACACAGGGGGGATTGTAACACTTTACAAAGAGTCACAGTATGTGAAAACACTTTAGCTAAGAAGCATAGGCTAATAACGAACTCCCCACAAATCAATGCCCTCACAAATGATGATGCCTTGGAAGATGTATCCATGTCTGTGTCGCTGCTTAGGTCATCCAAGGTGGCTATGATAGTTTTGAAAAGTTCCCGAAACTTAAGTAGGCTGTTGTGGTTCTCAACCCACCTGGTTTCACACATCGATGTTAGAGTTTTCCATTGTGAGTCCGGGTTCTCTGTTTTAATTTTTTCTCTCAGCAAATTCATTCTTTTTGGAGAGCTTTTGAAAAAACTTATCACAGATTTGACTGTGCCAACACAATTTCTCACACTCTGTAAATTGCAAGAGTGACAAAGAGCAAGGTTTAACGAGTGAGAGCAACAATGGACGTAAATTGCTTCTGGATACTGCTTTCTTATCAATGCTTGGACTCCGTTAAAAGATCCTTTCATTACAGAGGCACCATCATAGCCTTGCCCTACCATATCCCGGCATTCCAGACCTAGACTTAACAAAAATGAAATGATAGTATCAGCTATCGATTGAGCATTTGCGCCTTTTAGCTGTGTAAACCCTAAAAAGTCTTCTTTTGTCACATAACAGGTTTCTTCTTTTTTTGTGTACCGTACACACAGAGAAAGTTGTTCTTTTCCCGATATATCTGCAGTTTCGTCTACTAAAATAGAGAATACACCAGCTTTAACTATGCCTTTGACAATTTCTTTTTGAATGACTTCTCCACATATAGCAATCAGCTCATTTTGGATTGTTGGGCTCATATATGTAGCATTTAGGGACATATTCTCTGTATGTTTAATGAGTCTTTGGTCACCGCATTTCATTTTTAGTCTCAACAATGCTCTAAAGTTACCATCATTAGTAGAGGGTTCCTCATCATTCGACTTTATGGGCCCTGAATCTTTGGTGCCTCTTAATGCAAGTTCTTGCCGACCACAAAACGTAATGGTATCTACTATAGATGCCAATATATCTCGGTTTTCTTGGACTTCCTAGCTGAATCAACTTGATTTCTTATGTCACGTTTAGGATTTTTTGAAACACTTTTTATCTTGGTGATTTTTAAAGTATTCTAAAGCATCTTTCCAATTCCTGTACGGTTCTTTCACTAGTAATCTCAACTTTTGATGCCCACCTTTTCCAGCCGTATCTTTTGAAAACAACACACAATATTTACAAAGTGCTCCATCATTTTGTTTTGAATAAACAAGCCATGGAAATTTGTGCAACCACTGACTTTGAAATCTTAGATTCCTCTTCCCGCTGGCAGGGAATTTAAAATTGACTTCTGGTACCCACGGATTACACAATAATTTAAATTTTTTGTCAGGGTCTATTTTTTCAGAGGGGATATTAAGATATCTTCCTAAATCGAGAACGTCATTTTCATCACAAGAGTTAGCTTCAACAATATTAAAATCTCCTAATGGCAAAGTTTCACTTCCACTGGAGGTACCTTCAACTGGTTCAGTGGAATGTTGTGGCTCCGTACCATTTGAGACATCGGGTTTCTTGACTTTACTAAAAAAGTTCAATAACGGGATCTGCGAACTCGTACGTTTACTTAGCCATTGTGTTATCTTCCTAAAAAAATAAAATAAAATAAACTGTGGCAAATTGAAATTTGATAGTGAATTGTGATATAAACAGCCCTGCATGTGAACCAGTGTGAGCCGCAGCCTACCTACATAGATAGTAGTGTAGTGGCAAATCCGGCACTAATGCACTGATGTGAACAACTTTGTTCTCATAAATAATCGTTAGGTATGGCTACAATTAATTGCCTCAAGGCAAAAAACTGAAATGTTGCATGGTACGAGAAAAAAGTGTATGGATCTAGGGTTAGTTAATACCGTACCGTACCCACCAAGATTTGTGTTGCTGGCTTTTTATTTTCATTAAGCAACCACACTCCAAAGGTCTACAACACTTTCTGAAATACAACATTTTCAAAACAATAATTCACGCCTGATGTCTTAGACCTAACCTAAAAACCCAAACCCATTTAGTATTATAAAGAATTTAGGATCGTTAAATATTACAGTATTATGCATTTGCCTCATGTTAATATTTAAAAAAAATGAATATCTTTGTAGGCCTGTAGGCCTATAGTCGACAAATTAACACTTCTTATAGTCTGTAACTGTTGGGATAAAGAAAGTAAAATAGTATTGTAATGATACTAATTTTATATGGTCGTCATTTCATCGACAAGTATTAAGTATTTTGCGAGTTTAACAAAACGGTAGGTAACTTGACTAACTTTTGTACAAAATAATATTTTGCTACTACAAAATACAATTATTTGTCTTTGGTCCAAATGCTATGCAAAAGTAGGCCTACAGATTGTGGGTTTTGGTTTACTGTACTATAAATTGTTAAAGATATTAAGTAAACAAAAAACATACCTTTCTTTCCACAATGCAATACTAAATCACTCAGTTGATACACACTACATTACACATTCGCTTCACATTAATTTGGTGTTGTCGCCGTGCATCCGTGCGACCTTAACCTAGACGGCGCCAGCACGTGTTGGTGTTGGTGTCTTGCCGCCTGCACCGCAGACCGCACACCTGTGCTCTACT